TGAGTTAGTCCCAAAGGCTGCTTTTAGCTACGGCAGAAGAATTGCAGGAGATATGCAAGACGCAAACAAACACAAAAAAAAACAAAAGCTCAACCCAGAGCAAGAATGGAAGGCTATAGAAAAGATTATCGCAGAAAAACAAAGATAAATATATATATATATATTATATTTATATTTATATTTATTTATTTGTTTATTTATTTACTGTTGAGGAGAAAACAATGATAAGCGCAAACAACTCGGGTGTAGCTATCTCTATAAATAAATAAATATATTTATATATATATGTATATTTATATATGTATATATATAATATATATTTATATATTTAAATTATATTTATTTATTTATATGTGTGTGTTTGCTGTCTATTGTTGTATTGCTATAGATGGCGGTATATTTGGCTGTATGTAATGTTGTAATAATATTATATTATGATATATTAAATAATAATATTGTTATAAATTATAATAATATTATTATGTATGTATTATAATATAGTTTATTATTATAAATTATAATAGTATTTATTATTATATATAATATATTATTAATGTACGCCGAAGTTGCACAAAAAAAAGCGAAATAAAAAATGATAAATATTTTATTAATTTTAAGTGAAGTATATTAATAAAAAAAAATAATAAATAATAATAATTATTATTATTTATTATTACTATTAATAACAACTGTTAATACTTATTATTAGTAATAATAATAATAATTATTATTATTATTATTATTAGCATACACCCCAAAAGACAACGCATGTGCATGCATGCATACACCCGAATATAATTTTCTTGTTTGTCTCTTCTTTTCTTTTCTCCTTTTAAAGAAAACTTCTTTAAAAAGTTAATAACAAACAAAGACAAACAGCAACAGAAAACAAACAACAAAGACACGCAGAGACAGACAGCAGCAAACAGAGACAGACAAAAACAAAAGTAAATCAACAAAGAGTAAAAGATAAACAGAAACAGACATAGGAAGAAACAAAGAGAGAGAGAGACAGAGATAAAGAAGGAGAAAGAGACAGACAAAGAGAGACAGACAAAGATAGAGATAAACAGAAACAGAGAGATATATACAAAGAGAGACAGACAAAGAGAGAGATAAAGAGAGACAGAGAAAGACAGATAGAAAGATAAATAAACAGAAACAAAGAGACAACGACAAGCAGAGACAGTTGCAAACAAACACCGGGGGAACCTCGGGTGGGGTTGTTGTGAAGATGCAGCAGCACAACTTTCTGCTGCTGCTGCTGCTGCTGCAGAAGAAGAAACGCAAAGGGCAAATAAGTATTAATTAGAGAGAGTTTAATTTAATAACTCTCTTTAGCGGGGTTAAGATGAAAAATAAAAAAAACAAAACAAGCGGATTTGCTGAAGCTGCTGCTGCCGCAGCAGCAGCTTCACCCAGTGCAGCTGCAGCACATGCAACAGCAGTAGAAAATGCAAGAGCTGCAGCAGCTTCACCAAGTGTAGCAGCAGCACCATGCAGCAGCAGGAGCAGTCGCAAGGACTGCGGCAGCGGCGGCAGCAAGTGCAGCTGCAAGACGTGCAGCAGCAGCAGCAGCAGCAGTAAGAGCTGTTGCAAGAGGGGAAGCATAAGGTGCTGCAGCATTAGCATTATATTGATGTTTTTAAAGTAAAAAGAAATAATTAATTACTAAGGAGCAGCAAAACAGCGCTCCGTCGCCATTGAGAAGCAGCCACCATAGAGAGCAGCAGTAGGAGAAGAAGGTGCATGCACAGGGCCGAAGAAGAGAGAAGGTGCTGCAGCAAAGCAGCTTGCGCTAGTGCTGCTGCTGCTGGTAGTGGTACCCGCAGCAGCAGCAGCAGCAGCAGCAGCAGCAGTAGGGGAATTGAGACCCACACCCCCTCCTATTAACCCACTCGAGCTTATTGTATTTGCAGCTGCGTCTTTGTTGTGAAGAAGCAGGCGATGAGTTACTCCTTGTCTTTCACGAAAAGGAAATGATGCAGCAGCAGAAGAAGAAGTATTGCTGCAGAGTTCTTCGCTGCAGCGCCATGCTGCTGCTGCTGCTGCTGCTGCTGCTCCTGCTGCTGCTGCTGCTGCTGCACCTCGCGGCAGCAGCACCCGTTGTCTTAATGCCCATATTAATGCTGCTCTTTCACCAGGGGGAAGCTGACTAGGCATTAAACCTCCGACCAAACAATACTGAAAAACTTCAAGATAAGGTTCTAGCTGCTGCAACCCACACGCTTCTTCGATTGAAAACGCATGCAAAGCCTCCTCACGCATAAGCAAATCCCGATATAATGCATCACTGCTGCTGCTGCTGCTGCTGTTGATGTTGTTGGTGTTGTTGCTGTTGCTGCAGCTGCAGCAGTTAGTGTTGTTGTCGCTGCTGCTGCAGCTGTTGCTGCTGTTGTTGCTATTGTTGCTGCAGCTGCAGCTGTTGCTGTTGCTGCTGCTGCTGCTGCTGCTGCTGTTGTGGGAGAGTACAGCTTGGAAGAGATCGTGAACGAGTTTAATGCATAATTCTTTTCTTAAATCGCAAGAAGCAAATATCTCTTTCATTGTCGTTGAAGCAGGGAGACAGTAGACAGGAGAGTCTCCGTCGCTGCTGCTGCCATTAAGAGGAGACAGGAGACCGTTTGATGCTGCAGCAGAAGCCGAAATAAAACTGCTGCTGCTGCTGCTGCTGCTGCTGCAGCTGCTGCAGCAGCAGCCACTTGCTGCACTTGGATTTAATAAGGCTTCAGATAAAGGAGGTAAAGAACAGCGAACACTCAAAGAAGAGCCGACGCCGCTCGCCTGTCGATACACCCAACGCATGCACAACTCATTCGCATTCTTATTCTTTTGAATGCCTATAATATATATAATATATATATGTATATTAATACTTCAACATAAACATGTCTATATATATATATGTCTGTGTAAATACATATATGCTTGTAGATATTGTATGCATAAATGCATATAATTATATAATTATATATATATAACATATATACATGTATATAAGGCGACGGGCCCAAGAGACAGCTGAAGGAGACACTTAGACAGCAATTGAATTAGACAGCAATTGAAGGAGACAGTAATTGAAGGAGACAGTAATTAAAGGAGACAGTAATTAAAGGAGACAGTAATTACAGGAGACAGGATAAGAATGAACAATATTAAAAGGAGACAGTATAAAAACAAACTTTATTCAAAGGAGACAGTATAAAAATAAACATTATTAAAAGGAGACACTATGAAAATAAACATAATTAAAAGGAGACAGTATAGAAACAAACAAACTTCATTAAAAGGAGACAGTATAAAAATAAACATAATTAAAAGGAGACAGTTAGGCTGTACCCGAGGCGAGGCAGCGTTGCGAGAGAGGGAAGGCCCGCGGCGGCTGTCTTCTGCTGTGCAAAAAGAAGCAAAGGCTCCGTTCTGAGCACACACAAACGAGGGTTTAGGGTTTAGGGTTTAGCGGGTGCGGGTAGGTGTTTGCTGGGGCTTCATTTGTATAAACAAGGGTTTCTTAATAAACATCTATAAATGCATTTCTTTACGAACAAAGTGTAAATGCATTTGTTTATAATTATTCTATAAATGCAGTTTTAGTTTGTTTATAGTGTTGTTTGAGCGATTCTTCATTTGTTTTGCATTTCTTTACGAACAAAGTGTAAATGCATTTGTTTATAATTATTCTATAAATGCAGTTTTAGTTTGTTTATAGTGTTGTTTGAGCGATTCTTCATTTGTTTATAAACAAACAATATAATAATATGTTTATAAATTCTCAATAAACAAAATATAAATGCATCTATTAATTAACAAACTATTAATAGAAAGATATATATTCAATACCTCTGCTGTAAGGGAACAGCCAGCTGTCTCCTGCTGCTGCTCAGCAGCAGCAGGAGCAGCAAAAGACAGAAGAGGGTGGGCAATCTCCTTGTCTTGTCTGTAAGTATGGACAGATTCTTCTGCTTCTGCTGCTGCTACTGCTGCTGCTGCTGGTTCTGCAGCAGCAGCAGCAGCAGCAACAGCAGCAGGAGCTGCTGATGCAACAGGAGAAAACGCCAAGCTGCAAGGCTCTGTGTCTTCTAGAGAATTATTTGTCTCCTCATCAAAGGCTCTAGAGGCGCTCGATCTGCTGCTGTCTGATATGACCAGTGGTCTTTCTGCTGCAGCATCTGCTGCTGCATCTGCTGCTGCGTCTGCTGCTGTTGCAGTTGTCGCCCGCGTCATGCTCTGCAGCAGCAGCAACTCCTCCGAAGGCTCTCCCTTGCCTTGCAGCAAGAAATCAGAGCAGCAAACAGCACCACTGCTGCTGCTGCTGCTGCTGTTGCTCTTCTCTAGCTCCGTGCCTCGCCTGAACGTGTGCAGAGCAGGGGTGGTGGAGGGGAGAGTCTCTGTCTCCTTGAAGGTGCGTGGCTGTAGCTGCTGCTGGGAGACAGCTGCTGCTGCTGCTGCTGCTACTGCTGCAGGGTTTGGAGGAGCTGGCGCAGGTGTTGCTGCTACGGGTGTTGCAGCAAGGGCTGTTGCTGCATCGGGTATGTGGGTGTGCATCTGCTGGTGCTGCTGCATCTGTTGCTGTTGGTGCTGCTGCTGCATCTGCATTTGCTGCTGCTGATGCTGCTGTTGGAGATGCTGCTGCTGCATCTGTTGGTGATTATTAGTGTCGTTGAATGGTGTATGTGGGGTTGGTGTGTGGGGTGTATCTGCAGGTGTTGCAGGTGTAGTAGGTTGAGGGTCTTCAAAGGCGCTCTGCTGCGGTTTTTTATCCTCATGAACAGAGCAGCGACAGCCCAAAAGACAAGGAAATGCAGCATCAACACAAAGGTGAGCAATTGCTTCTGCTGCTTCATCAAGGTCTGGGGGCCGACCCATAATTCTGTTTCTTTCTTCTAACGCCAGCTTGCGAGCACCAAGAAATCCATAGCGAGAGACAGGGAAGTGCTTTTGCACTTGTTTATTATTCTCATTTTTCCAGTAAGATATCCAGCGAATCTGATTGTGATCAAATGTTAATCCCTGAACCCGTGGGGTTTGCCTCGCGAGGTTTCTGTACACCTTGCGCTGCTGCAGAGGCAAACCACGCCCTGCCTTGCAAGCTCTCCCTCGTGAAGAAGAAGAAGAAGAAGAAGAAGATGAGGATGAGGATGATGATGATGATGATGATGATGATGATGAGGATAAAGAAGGAGAAGGGGAAGAAGAAGGAGAAGGAGAAGAAGGAGAAGGAGAAGAGGGAGAGGCGTCAACACGGCTGGAGGTCCTCAGCCCCTCAGGTGCAGAAACAATCATCTCGTAGAAAAAGAGGATTCAGAAACAAGACAAGTGACACTCTTTAACTTCCTCCTGTTTCTTAAACACCCAGAACCTTCACCCGCTGCGACGCGCTGCAAGTGCCTGGTTTGCCGCCTGATTCAGATGCGCAAACCTGGCGAATTCGACGTAAAACAATAAACAAACAATGCGTCAATGCAATAATGCAAGGGCCTTAAAACTGAGGAAAAAGCCCAAGACACGAGGTCGTGGCTTCTCGCTGCGGGACAATAAGACGGAGCAGAGCTCGGGCGAGAGGAACGGCGGTTAAAACCCTTCTTTGGCAGTTTCAGAGTTAAAGACACTCAAAAAAAGAGTCATAGCTGAGAAAAAACAACCTTTGATTGTTTGTTAAAGGTAACAGACAATGAAAGACAAACGGAGACACGCAGGGATCCTCGTGGCAGTTCCTTATTGAGGAAGGGGCCTCATTTAAGGTTCAGTTCCTACATCTCCTCTGTGAGACATCTGAAGACAAAAATTCAATAAAACAAGCACAAAATCTCTTTAAATGCGCATAACAAAGCCCAAAACTCACCGATGTGCAGCGGCGGGATGACACACCTGAGCCACAGTTCCCAGCGGGTTGCTGCAACACTCACTGTCTGCTCGCGGGCTCGTCCACTACTGCTAGCGCAAGCAGTAACCAGGGGATATACGCGTGCAGATCCGTTGTACAATTCATGAATTCATAAACTCCTTTCAAAAACAAATCATTTATCTACTGTTAAGTCAGACATTCTCCCTGAGATCCTCTCATTCTGCACTGCTCGGTGGTGGGCCTCGGCTGGCGTGGCTCAGATACGTCTCGCTGGTGGGAGGGGGGCAGCCAGTGGTAGTTCTTCACAACATTGACGAGTTTGTATAAGCTCTTTTGATTCAAATACCATAAAAACACTTTTCTATTGCTTTTATTCCAAGATCGCTCCAAATAATAAACCACAATTGCACTCTGACCAGCGCCGACCAACTACACTACTCTGCTGGGAAAGCTGCAGTGACACCCGGTGAGGCACCTGCAACACAACACAGGCAACTGGTGCGGGTTTCTGCATGTTGCTGGCCTTGATCTGCTCATTTGAGGGCATATACTTTGAACTAATGCAAATAAATAGGCATGTAGATCTTTGCTTAAACAGTGCAAACCGAGGTCGCGGCATTTTGCCGCCTGTTTCCCCCCTCTCCCCCCATGAGCGGACACACTTCCTTGCAGCGGGAACAGCACAAGGCAGCACGAAAAAGAAACGAAACAAAACCCAAACGCGCTTCGAATTAATTAGCATCTGGATAGCCTCTATAGATGTTTTTAAAAATATTGCTGTTCAAATATTCAGCTTTTTCCTCCCCCCATCGTAGTATCTAAACTATATATGGTAGTCGTGCTCAGAGATGCTGGTATGTAACGCGGCAAACCAACTTGCGCCTAAACAGTGGAAAGAAGAAATTGCAAGAAGGATACTGCAGCACTTCTCCGCAGGCCTCAGCGTATGAATAGTACGTTAGAGGAGTGCAGACAAATCATGGGGTATGTCGGAAATAACGCACTGCACTGTAGCCCCCCCAAAATTAGTTTCCCTTTACGCAAATGTGCAGCACAACTTCACTGGGTCTTTTAATATGCAGTTTGTCCTCCTGAAAATCATTAAATTTGTTTACGTGTAAGTAGCAAAGATGCAATAGTACAAGTTCAGACGCATTCCCGTTGCCTGTTCGTGAGTTAAATAGCACTGCAAAATTGCTTTCCATTTGGCCTTACACAAGACACCCGATCCTCCTGAGTTCCTGACCCTATCAACTGGGGGATGTGAATAATATATATATATATATATATGATGCATATAGGTTTACATAAAATGCAGTCTCTTTGGCTGCTCGCTCTGCATTTAGTTCTAAAGATGAGAAGCACGCCCTTCAAAAACCTATCCCCAAGTATTATTTGCAGCAGTTTATGTGTACAGGCACAACTGCAGCAGGAAAAACATTATGCATTTTCTCACGCATGCAGAGCGAGGAACCGCTCTTCAGCAACAAACAAGGAAAAAAGCGTACAAATAGGCTTAAATAAAAAGTACTGTACCCTCAAACGACAAATCCACAATCATAAACAAGAAGACAGGGAAAATTCAGCAACACCTCCAGCGGGCTATGCCGTGCATGAAGAACTGACTCAAATGAAAACAACATGCACACAGTTTAAGTGCGTGTATATATATACATACATACATATATATATATATATATATATATATATACATATCAAGAATGCAAATGCATATTAAATGAGTGTGTGTACACTAAATAATGAATATTCGCTTTACGTGACTAATGTTGGGAAGTATTGCATTTATGTGCTTTTTACTTCTGTGCTTGTTTTTAAGGGGCTTCGTACACAATGAAAAGGAGTGTCTTTGTGTCCTCATTTCAATCAGCGGCGTGCAGCAGCAGACAAGGGGATTAAACCCAAAGCATAGGACAACCAAACGAACAACAAAAGCCTTGCCTAATAGAGAGACTTGTCTCGTGTTTTACTGAAGATGTTTCACTCATATACTTCTCGCTGCTTTAGCTGCCACCAAAGAAACTCGAGCAATTTGTTAACACTCCGCGCAGCCTGGATGGCGCGGCTGCTCCTGCTGTCTGTTGCATAATAGTAGGGCTTCTGCTGGTTCTCTTCTGTTTCTGCAACTTCAATATACGTAAGAGCGTATAAAATGCATTAATGAAGCGGCCTTAACCCCCGCGTCCCGCACTGTGCAGGCCGGCTTGAACGAGTTTATAGCCCATGTCTGCACTCGCTCCACGGACAAGGCTTTTCCTGGCTAGTGCAATGCAAATACCATTTGAAATAATGTAGAGGGTTTTATTTCAACGAAAATGCAGCGAGGGTTCATATTTTTACTGTGACCGCATACACCCCAGTGAGGTGCCTACAGTGCAAGGCTCAGCTGCCCTTGCACTACGTGCAGATTGAAGCCGGAATGGGAAAAAGAGAATATTATTTGAACTTTGACTTTAAATTACTCTTTTTAAAAGAATGCATTTATTCAAGGGCCTGCTGAAACGGGTGTCTGGAGAGCACTCTTGCCCTGTGTCTGGGAGCGCCCCTGCTGAGTGCACTGGCGATGCGCAGTGTAGAAAAATAAAGGAATAAAGACCTAAAACTGAAAATTCATATGTTTTTAAAAACAATTTTAAAACCTTTTTAAAGTATATTTCGTCGAGAAGCCTGCGATTTACCTCACCCATGCGGCCATAACCGTGGGGCCCTCTTCCTTACTGCCACTTACTACTACTACTGCGACTTCCGAGGAATTTCATAGGTAGCCAGGGTCTTAAACTTCACTTTTCTGCATATCTTTCATGCATCATTTGGAATGAGGCATTATTCTGGGGTTTTCAAGAAAGCCTAATGCCTTTTTTCTTGGGCTGGTGTGGCGGCAGTAGACCATTGGGCACTTGGGCAGCGCATTACCAGTGGGGTGTATATGCAGCTCGCCTGCATGAAAAGCGTTCTTTTTTCATGAAAATGCTGAACAAAAAAGTACTTTGAGCGTGTTCAACTTGAAGTTGCATATATGTGTTGAATGCTTCCTTGGTTTAAGCCTTCATATGATGCAGCATTGATTGTCGGCGCACGGCAAGAGCTGCAGTCTGACAGCCATATCTTTGCAGTTCAACGTACTGAATGAACAGAAGAGAAATGTTTCGTCGTCCTCTTTGCAAGAACTCTTCGAATGCAGCTCTCTTGCCCAGCCCCGTGAAGGCTGCACGAGAAAACGAGCAGCATTGCTGCTGCAGCTGTTGCTGCATCTGTAACTTCATGACAGAGTGAATGCGCAAAGCAGCAGCCATCATACTGCCTGACGAATGGAGGACTGCTGCTGCGGATACAGCTGAGATATAATGGAGTATTTAGCTAAGCTGAAGTCGTTTGTCCGGGTGAAAGCCACGGGGCCTAAAGCTCGCGCCCATGTCAAATTCATATTTTCAAATTCAAGACAACTCCCCATTGAGGCTTTCTACGACGTGCGCCGCCAACTGTAAACCCTAGATATTAATTCTAAACCCTAAACCCTAAACCGTTAAATGCAATATTTCTGCACTACCATACCGTAATGTTAAAGGGCCTGCACGCTCACACTAGCACTATTATCTCTGTTGTCTTATCATTATTATAAGGCCTTTCTTGGTTTATTACTCGTATTGCGCTGCTATTTTTAATCATCATTCGTATTACTGTACTTTTCATTATCATTTGTAATATAATGTTACTGCCAGTCTGCTTGCTTCCATATAATTCTGGTTTCTTCCGTTATATTACTCTTCTTTGCGTTATATATTATCATCCTTATTAATGATCTTTAATTTCCACTTTTCTACTTGTTTTCGCATAATTACTTTGGCGGTTTTATGATTACTCTTGTGATGAACTCGTTGTAATTGTGGGTTCTTTTACTGCAATATATCTTCATGGTGCTGTGTAAATGTCTCTTTGTTATTGTTATTTGATTGCTGCATGCAGGCTGACACAACAATGTCGGAGGTAAAGGAAGATTTGTTGCTGCGTCATTGGCCTGAGACGTTGGGCCCCGTTGAAAATGTCTTTCGTTTGCGTTTGTTTTACTGCGGTATCGAGCTAAAAGACTGGAAATGTTTAAGAGATTATCGCATTGGCATTAGCGGAGAACTTCCCTCCGCTTGTCACATCTTTATAGTGTACAGACAGCCGAAAAATAGCGAAAGCAGCAGTAACAGATGCATTTGTACTATTTCTTAACCCAATACAACCCAACAAAACAAACAAACTTCATCTTTGTCTCTTTAAAAATGCTGCTGCTCTCTAAAACTATTCTTTATTGTCTTCTCTATATGTACTTAATAAATGTTCATCATAAAGTCTCTCCCTGCCTTCCCCTCTTCAGCAAATATGTCCCCTCAAATACAACAAAAAAGAAGCAGAAATTGCTGCCTGTTGGCAACGTAATGCATTAATACTTATATATATATTTATGCAGATATACAAATATAAATACACATAGATATAGATAAGCATAATATACATATATACATATATATATATATATATATGTCATTACGATATTTTATAGGCACTATGGCAATTACTGTCTA